CCCTTCCTACTGGTTTTATTTTCCTTGAGGTCCAACCTGTGTCTCCCAAGCCACAGTTTGAGTCCGTTTTCACCCTTTGGCCACCACTTCTTCAAGGAACAGCGGTTAAATAAAATGTTCTGAGCCTCTGCTTCATGTAATTAATATTTAAAAACTAAAAATCAATTGTATTATGGACTGATGGGAATATTCACACCCACAGCCCTGTGTTGGGATGCTGGGAGGATACAACTCTTGGGCACAGCTCTGGGGATGAGTGGGAACAGCTTTGGGACACAGAGGCAGGATGGCTGCTCCAGTGCCAGCCCTGAAGAGGGGCAGTGTGGAGGCTCTGCTCTCTGACACCATTTCCATTCCTTAAGAACCTTCCAATTTCGAATGTAGTGGAGGAAATCATGTTCCCACTGCCCCATTTCTAGCCCCTGGCTGTTCCCCTACCACTCAACTGAGGGTACAAGATGAAGGGCTCCCAGCAATGTGACCTTTTGGCCAAGTAAACAGATCCCCATTTTCTGCAATTTAGAAATTTCTTTACAATTTGGCATTTCTTTCCAAGTGTCCATAGTTTCCATGCTTGGAGCTGTTTCTTTGAGGTGGCAATGCAGTCATCCCAAAGGAAGAACCTTGCCAAGAGGCAGGAGGAAGTGCTTACTTCCACTTCTCCAAGGATTGCATCCCACAGAAATAACAGTTCTGGGCAGTTCTGGTGCAATGTTTCATGTCCTGGTAATGCTTGGATAAACCAAAACTGAATTATGGCCCAGCTTTGGTAACCTTGAATGGCCCATGTGACAATAATCTCAGAATCTTTGTGTTGGGAATTCCCACGGGATCATTTTCCCTAGAGATGCTTTACAGACTCTCCTCTTGGGATTTCTGATATTTCCAAAGAAACTAGAGCTGCTTCCACTGCTGCCTGTGCTGCTTTGTGAAGTGGGATCCTCATCCTTGTCAGGCTCAGCAGGAAAATGAGTTCAGTCTCAGCGCTGCTTGAGTGTCCCCTGGGGCTGCCAGGGGAACAGTGACCTTATTTCTGGGTTATTTTCTCCTCCTTCTTCCCAAGTGGATATTCCCATTAGTGGAGGATGTGACCTCCCCTCCTGTGCCCTCCTTACTCGGTGTCACACTGGAGGCCTGGAGATGGTGCCACCTTGAACCCAAATTTAATTGTTCTCCTAAAATTAACCTGCTTGCATTCAGCAGAGTTGGGTGGTGTTTTCTGGTAGAAATTGATACAGCATTAGAAATTCTTCCACTCATGTGCTGTATTCCAACAGGGAATAATAAATACACAGTGTAGAAAATATATCCTTGGAATTGCCTGCTTCAGTTTCTTGGATGAGTTGCTTTTTCATCTTAATTAGTACAGCTGGATCTGGTTCCTTTCAAGGCTTATTGAAAATTAATCTGAGCTGAGGCAGTTACTGTTCAATTCCTGCATTAGAGGCCAAGGTGCATCCCCAGTCCTGGTTTCCATCATGGAGATGTTAGAATTGGTCTTTCCACTACGCTGGTCTTTCCTAATGAAGTGGCTCCCTGGGTTTTAATTAGTCTGGGCAGTGAGATATGAAGGGTTGGAAGGCACGAGATGGAGCTGGGGAGACCAGGAAAACAACTGGCATGAGTGGGAAAGTGATGCAGGGCAGTGCTGGGAAAAGCCAGAAGGAAGGATTGCCATAATTTAAAATCCAGTGCTCCTTAAAAGCATTCTCCCCTTCAGAGTGCTCTGGAGAGCTCAGAGCCCCTTGCAGTGCCTAAAGGGGCTCCAGGAGAGGGACTTGGGACAAGGGATGGAGGGACAGGACAAGGGGAGTGGCTTCCCTTATATGGGATATTGGGAAAGAGTTCTTCCCTGTGAGGGTGGTGAGGCCCTGGCACAGGGTACCGGAGAAGCTCTGTCTGCCCCATCCCTGGAAATGTCCAAGGCCAGGTTGGGTGGGGTTTTGAGCAACCATTCTATGATTCAGAGATCCATTCTGGGCAAGTCACTGCAGCCATGTGGGAGCCCTGGTCTGAGGGCAATTGCACAGCTCTGTTTATTCTCAGGAATTGTATCCTCAAGCTGGGCCCATCCCTGTCTCCTTGCATTTCTGTCTCTCTGAGGAATGCTGACATTTTCACTTAGAAAAAAGGAGCAAAATCCTTTGCTGTGCCTGGAAATAAAGGTTTGGGTGCAGCAGAGTCACAATTTACAACTTCTTTTTTTGTTGTTTTTTTTAAAGGAGCTGGTACAAGAAAGCACATGAAAGGGTGTTGGCCTTTATCTGGAAAAGGCAAAGACCTCTCCAAGGGTGGGGTTCCCGAGAGAGGGATTGCTCAGCCCTGGAGCTGCCGAGGGCTGGAGAGGCTGCAGGAAGCCTGCCCAATCCTGCCTGTCCATGTGCTTCCCAGCCTCCACAGGCTCCTGGACTTGTGCTCTTGGCTGGGGATGGGCAGGGACTGGGGAATATTCCACACAAAATCCTGGCCAGGGAGACAGCAGCGGCCGGGCTGCGGGAAGGATGTGGCAGCTCCGGAGGGCTGGAAGCTCCAAGTGCTGACATCCAGGTCAGGCTGACCCTGGCAGTGGATGTGCTGATCCAACCCCTCCTTCTCTCTGCTCACTCTGGATTTCAAGCCTTTGCTGCTCCCCTCTGAGCCAAAAATAATCCCAGACTGGTTTGGAATCAAGGGGACCTTACAGAGCATCTCATCCCACCTGGACAGGGACACCTTCCACTAGCCCAGACTGCTCCAAGCTCTGTCCAACCTGGCCTTGGACACTTCCAGGGATTCAGGGCCAGCCACAGCTTCTCTGAGCAAACTGTGCCAGGACCTCATCACCTTCACAGGGAACAATTTCCTTCTAATATTTAATTTTACGTGATGCCAAAGGTGAAATTCTGCAGGGACACTCTTGATCCACAAGCAGGACCATTCCTTTGGGATCCATGACCTAGAGGAGACAGAAGGCCAGAGGGATGGGGATGCCAAGAAGTCTTCTTGCAGGAATGATGCCTAAATACACACATTTGTGGGGTTTTTTCTTGTAAACCCCCTTTCAGAGAATTCTCTAGAGGAGAATTCTCTAGAGCTCAAATGCCCTCATCGAAAAATCCAAACCTCACTTGTTTTCCCAGTCTTTCCAGAATAATTTCAACTAGAAAATGAAAACTACCCACCAGGAAAGTACTGTGTGAAACAAAAAGGCCAAAGGGAAGTGAAATCAAAAGAGAGATGAAATTTTATGCACTCAGGCTTTATATTTTGGAGAAGTGCTTGATGGAAAGGGGCAGGGAGGAGAATCTTGTTGGGAGGGGTGGCTCAAATTCAGCTGCTGATATCAAACCCTGAAACTCAGCACAACATTTACATGGATCATTACCCACTGCACCTCATAAATAACTGTGGGGTACAAAATCAGGGGATTTTGCCGAAGTGAACATGAACCAGGAGGTGAATAAGAAGAAAAAGAGGCTATGGCTTCCCAAATACCCTTCTTTTATCCCCTTTCATGCCTCAGCTTCCCCACAAAGTGCCCTTTCTTCTCTCTTTCCTCCCTCCCAGTAATATCACCTGGTTTGGAGCATGAATTCTTATTACAGAAGAAAAGCTGCATTGTTCAATATCTTCCTCCTCTGAGTTATGCTAGTGGCACCCATTTTGACAGAGTCTTCATAGTTCCTCATATCTGACTAATTAGAGATGATGAAAGCCATGATTCATTAAAAAAATACAGATAATCATCTGAGCAAATCCAACCTCCATCTTCAAATGGGGCTGAATTTTCTTAAATACCCATCAAACCTCAAACAAATGATTTAATCTCAAGGCTCCATCTTGTGGCAAAGTAAAGCAAAGTCACTGATTGAGAAATTAATATTTGTTCTTCCTTAATATTTGTTTTTTCATTAATATTTGTTCTTCCTTAATTTTCCCTGCTTCTTCTTTAATAGCCTCGTGGATGTGTTTGCTCATGTCCAGGGAAAGTTTAATTTAATACCCTTGAAAACTTGGGGCAGTACTCAGAGCTTTGGTAATTCTGAAATATCCTGAAATTCCCAAATTTCTGATGTCCATGTCCAATATGATCATGCTAGGGTGAATTTGTATCAAAAAATGCTTGTCAAACTGTAGGATTTGGCATTAATTTTTTTCTGGAATCTCTCATGGAGCTTCTTTCACTCCTTCATTTTGAATTGTACCAACAATGCAAAGCAGAGAAAAAGCTTTATGATTACCAAAAAGGATTTTTCATCAGTTAGAAATTCTGATTTAAAAAATGGTTTACCAGGGGCAAGGGGTTACCTGGTGTTTGATCAGGTAATTAAAAATCATAGAATCATTAAGTTTGGGAAAGACCTCCAAGATCATCAAGTCCAGGCTTCAATCAAATCAAATCCCCTCACTAAACCCCACCACCAAGGGCCACATCTGCTTGATTTTTGAACACTCCAGGGTGGAGACTCCACCGCCTCCCTGGGCAGCCCTTCCAGTGTCTGACCACTCTTCCAGGGATGAAATTCATCCTGATCTCCAACCTGAGCCTCCTCTGGTGCAACTTGAGGCCGTTCCCTCTCCTCCTGTCCCTGTTCCCTGGGAGCAGATCTGGCTGTCCCCTCTGTCAGGAGCTGTGCAGAGCCACAAGGTCCCCCCTGAGCCTCCTTTTCTCCAGGCTCAGCCCCTTCCCAGCTCCCTCAGCCCCTCCTGGAGCTCCAGCCCCTTCCCAGCTCCTTTCCCTTCTCTGAACACGGTCCAGCCCCTGAATGCCTCTGTCCCCATACCTGTCCCTGGCCCTGGAGGGGACAGGCAGCGTGGCCTGGCCAGATAAAGCCGGGGGGCCGGGCAGGAAGGGGAGCAGCTGCTCCTTATCTCCCTTCCTGCAGCTCCCCCAGTGCCGCCGCTTTTTTTTGGTTTTTTTTTTTTTCTTTTGCTAATAATAAAGCTGGGTTTTAGCAAGCAGGAGCTGTCAGGCTTCCAGCAGGGTGTCCTGGGCAGCAGAGATAGCACCCATGGGGGCTGCCTGCCTGCTCATCCACCTCCTCCAGCCATGGATCTCCCGGAGCTCCAGGCACAGGGAGCAGCTCCTGGGCTGGGCTGGTCCAGCTGGTACTGTTATCCTGGTAATTTTATCCTGGTAGTTTTATCCTGGCAGTTTTATCCTGGCAGTTTTCTCTTGGTAGTTTTACCCTGGTACATTTTTTACAAGGCTAAGGAATGACAGGACAGGCTTCACACTGGCAAGGTTCAGGGGTACGTGGGATATTGGGAAGGAATCCTTCCCTGTGAGGGTGGGGAAGCCCTGGCAAGGGGTGCCCAGAGAAGCTGTGGCTGCCCCTGGAAGTGTCCAAGACCAGGTTGGACAGGGCTTGGAGAAACCTGGGATAGTGGAAAGTGTAGAATGAGATGATCTTTGAGGTCTCTCCAACCCAAACTCCCCTGTGATTTCATGATTCTATGAAAATTATTATTTCTCCTTAGTGTCACAGGGAGCAAGGCATCATGTCCCAAGTAACTTCCTGGGTCCCCACGTTGGATATCTCACTGATAACAGCTCCCAGGCTGCTTATCAGCAGAGCACCATCATTCCTGCCTTCTGTGCCCACCTGAACTAGTGTCTGTGAGAACTTCTGCCTTTGCTAAACACATGGAGAACAATTGCCATTTGATGGGGGATAATTGGAGGGATCCAGAAGCATTTAACAATTGGAATATCATTCTGCTCCTTGGCTTTTTATTTTTTCCTGTTCCAGCTACAATGTCATTCACTAATGAATGCAGCATGGGCTGGGATTAGGTTTAAAGCAGTATTTTCCTGTTGCTGTTCCCTACATGTTGGTCGCACCCTTAATGATCTTCCTAGGAAATATTTACTTTGAGGAGTTTGCTTCTAAGTCCTCCAAGTGATCAAAACCAGGCAAGGCATGGCTTGCTCTCCTATGACTTCAGTTTTTCCTGGAAAGAAACAGGAACAAAGAAAAATTCCTACTTCCAAAATTAATGCAAATCAGCTTGAAGATCATCTTGTCCCAATAAATGAACACTCCATTCTTTCTCAGGCAGGCTAATATTGGCTTTTAAGGGAAGAGAAACTCCAGGAAAAATCAGGACTCGTTGGCAGGATGGACCTTCTGTGAGAAATCCCAGCCAGGGGTGCCAGGATCACTCTGGAGCTGAAGTTTGGGAAGCAGTTTGGGCAAATGAGGAGGTTGACCAGGAGGTTGCCACGTTCACTCCTTCCTTCCACCTCCACCACGTCCCTGGGCAGCCCCTTGCCATGCCTGGCCACCCTTTCCATGGAGAAATTCCTGTTGATGCTCCAGAGGATGCTGCACTGGGCCTTCCAAGAGATCCCTCTGCCATTTGCAACACATGTGCAGTTGAATTTTGTCTGACTGTCAATAAACCCACAGGACATAATTACACCCCAAAATTCCCCAGACTTGAAAGCCTGACCGTCCCTGCCTTGTTCTCCACGAGCTGTAACTCAATGTAAACCCCTCTGTCTCTCTCCATTTTCCAGTTCTTTCATTCATTCCTGCTGAGTAATTAAAAATGGCTTCTAAATAAACAGCGGGGATGATTTCCGAAAAGTTCTGTATTTCCTTGCAGGGCTGGGACTTCTGTCATTGGCCCACTTAAGTGGTTTTGAAAGATTGTATACAGGTTCCTTTTACAATGTATTTGAAGTTTGTAATCCTGCTTAAACACACAAAAATAGGAAGGATTAACAAACTGCCACGCTGAGGCCAAAAGAAGACAGAGCTAAAAGCAATCAAGGAGCAGCCTATCAGATCCATGAAATAAATTGGGGGAAAAGTGGAAAACTGTCAACAAAAATAATATGTTATGGATCCTCAAGCCTTTGTGTTTATGCTAGAGGAAGCCTAAAATAATCTGTGGTTTCTGATGCTTGATTTAGTTTTCCACAAGCCTAATTAACACCAGATTAAGTTTGCTGCCACTATAGGTTATTGCTTAGACTGACAAATCCTGGCTGTTTATTTGTTTCCTAAAAAAATGACTGGAGGCAATAACAGCATGACACAATCAATAAGGGTGAAAACAATGCTGTAATATTCATTTTTAGAAACTTCATCTTCAGGAGAAACCCCCTTGACTTTCTGCATTAAATTCTGGCCCCAGAGTCTTTACAAAGGGAAAAAATCCCATTGATTGATTGTCCCTTTGATTTAAGGTGCAGCCCTGTGATTTTAAACTAAAAATCATGGATTTGCTGCATAGATGGGTTTTCCCAGATGTTTCAAGCAGCCCATGGGCTCAGGGGCTTGGCCAGGTGTGGGCCAGGGGCTCATGGAAGGGAGCTGAACAGGGCAGAGATTTACAGAGAGGAAATCCCTCATGTTGGCATTGACCCCTAGTGTGGATTATTTATAGGGAAAATACCCCAGAGTGGCATCAGCCGTTCTGTGACTCTGGCGGTGCAAATGTCACCACACCAGGACTGAACCTGATAGCCAGAAACAGGGAAAGGACACAGGGAATGGCTTCCCACTGCCAGAGGGCAGGGTGGGCTGGGATTCTGGGGAGGATTCCCTCCCTGGGAGGGTGGGCAGGCCCTGGCACAGGGTCCCAGAGCAGCTGTGCCTGCCCCAGCCCTGGAAGTGTCCAAGGCCAGGCTGGAGAACTTGGAGCAACCTGGTCTGGTGGCCCTCTGGTGCTTTTGGGGGCTGCACTGGGCCCCTGGCAGACCATCAGTCCCCAAAGAAATCATCCAGATGGAGGGAACAGATACTCCTGGAATGACTGAAATGTGGGCATAGGCATGGATGAACAAGTCAGACAAATATGGATTTTCCTGCAAGGCAGAGCCAATACAGTCACTGAGTTTTCATCCTTGAATCTTCATCTCCCTCTGAAGCAAAGTCCCAAATCCTTGTCTTGGTGCTGACCTGAACCCTGATTATTTCTAGGAGGGCTGAACAGAGGATGTTCAGTCTTCCTTCAGAACAGCTGGGACACAAAGAGAAATCCCAAAGCCAGCCCAAATGTCCGATGATAAGGGACAAATATCAGCATTTAGTGGCTTCCTGCTCTTTTCTGCTCTGTCCTAAATCCCTGACAGCAGCAGCTCATGGAGTGTGATCCTGGCTGAGAGGAGCCCAGCCATGGGACAGCTCCCACCTTTCCTGCTGGCCAGGAGATGTGGAGGTGGCACCTTGGATCATCCAAGGACCGTCAGGGACTCAAGGTCCTGCCTGATGCCCGCTGGGAGTATCTCAGAGTTAGTGCTGTGTCTGAATTCACCTTTCAGAGGATCTTTTTCAGCAGACCCCCCTATATTTCTCTGCCAAACTGATTTGTGCCCAGGGCAGCCCCAGGCTCACTCTGGTGCCACCATCCTGCCCCAGCCACCTCAGCAGAAAAGGACAGGACTTACACGAATTTCACCAAATGGAAGAAAAATTATGAAAACCTCTTTTTTTCTTCTAACATTTATCTAAAAACGTCCCTGAAAAAGCTCTTGCTGTGTTTAAGGTGCACTTGGGGAGCAGTTTTCCAGGGCTGCAGTTCATCATGCCCCGAGATATTGTTCATTTCTGTGCTTAGTGAGTCCGGCAGGCCGGGGCTGTGGAGCCATTTGGATTCAATCACTCACTTCCATCGCTCCTCAGCCCGGATTCCTCAACCAACTGCGCCAGGATTTATCGTTTGTGAGCTGTAAGTGAATTACTCGGGGTAACCCAATCCCGGGAGATGCCGGCAGGACTGACCCAGGGCTGGGATCGGGGCTGGGCTGTGTCCACAGGTGCTCCCTTTTCTGGAGGTTTAAATCACGCTCGATGCAGCTCGCGTTAAAAGAGGAGGGCGATTATTTAGGAATGCCTTGCCGAGGGAAATGCCCGATGTCCTAAGCAGATGCTGCGGAGCTTTTCCCTCAAAGATCTCTCCTTGGAAGCTGCGTTTCCCTGCTCTTTGCCCTCCCCCTTGGCTCCTGAGCCGCTCTCCGTGGCCTCATCGCAGCGATTCCCTCCTCTCCAGCTGCTGCCTTCCAGCGCACGGCTCCTCCTGCTTCCCTGCCAGGAGATGCGAGCCTGGGGCAGCCCCGACACGGCTCGGGGGACACGGCAGTATCCAAATCCCACGGAAATGTGTGTTTTGGAAAGCCCGGCTCCTCCGGCTGCCTCGGCTTGGACATGGAATATTTTGGTTCAGCTGAGCCACGGAGCCGAGTCAGAGGGGGTTCCCTGGATGCAGCCGTGCCTCGTAAATCCCATCCCATCCCATCCCATCCCATCCCATCCCATCCCATCCCATCCCATCCCATCCCATCCCATCCCATCCCATCCCATCCCATCCCATCCGCCACGGAGGACGGGGCTGCTCGGGGCAGGGGCAGTCCCCATTTCCCCATTTTCTTTCATCTTTCCTCACGTACTTTCCTTTTTTCTCATTTCCCTTTCCCCATTTTGCTTTCCCCACTTCCATTATTTTTCCTTCACTTTCATCTCAATTCTTTTCTTCCCCCACTTTTCCCTTTCACAATTTCCTTTCATTTTCCCTGCTTCCCTTTCCTCATTTTCTTTCTTTTCCCGTTACTTCCCTTTCCCTGATTCTTTTCTCCCCATTTTCCTTTCCCCAGTTTTTTTTTCCTCCACTTTCCTCTGCTCACTTCCTTTCTTTTTCCTCCTTTCCCTGTCCCCATTCCCTTTCCTTCCCCCCTCGTTTCCCTTTCCCCACTTCCCTCTCAGCGAGGTTGGATCAGCTGATCCCAGGGTGGTCCCTTCCCTGTGGCCGGGGTCGGATGTGCCCCCAGGCTTGTCCCACCCCCTTGTGCCTGGGCTTTGCCACGAGGTGGCTTTGAGGTAAAGGGGATTTGGGGGATATTCGGCTAAATCCTAAATCCAGGTCAAAGTTCCTTCTTCTGCTAATCCCTCTCAGTCTTATCCCCAGATCACGGTGCCTTAGGGTGGGATTCAGGTGCTGTGAGCATCAGGGATGCCTCAGGTAAAAACTGCTCCAGGGTGGAGGATTTTATGGGGAAACATCCCACAGAGCCCGTCCCTACAGCTCACCCAACCCAGCGTCACTTGTTCCCTGCCACCCTTCCCACAGAACGATCCTTGTGCTCAGCCTTCCTCCGTTAATTGCCATGGAAATTCGATAATTTCATCCTAAAGCAGAGTTGAGGAAAACTCAGGAAGAGCTCAGATTACTGAAAACTGGAAAAAATTAATCTTGATTAAAGCACTTCCCTCAGGAAAATCGGGACCTCCTGAACTCGGCTGAGGGCTGATTGCTCTCCAAGCTGGGATGTGCCCAGTTTGTCCCAAACACCTTGGAAAAAGGAAGAAAATTCCCTCCAGAGGTGGAATTTAGTGGGCTCCTGGCTTCATCCCACTCAGGGAAAGTGCCAAAAGAGGGACATTTCCCTCCCAAAATGTGATGGGATGGTCCTGTCAGCACCCACTGGCCCCACCAGGAGGGAAAATCGAGATGGGGCAGTGCCAACAGAAGGAGCAAAAGAGGAAATGGACTCTGTTTGTTTGGCATTGCTGAGTCAAGGAGGGAAAAGTCCTTTTCCAAACCCAGCACAGGGGGGATTTGGTGTGTTCTGGCAGGTTGATCCTGATGAAGGAAAGGAGGACTGGGATAGGAAGGGCTAAACATGGAATTAGGATTGAAGACCAAACTGCTTCTTTTATTTTCTTCTTATTTTCTCTTACTTCAACCTCTTTTAATTTAATCAAATTTTCATTTTTTATTTTAATTATATCTATTTTCATTTTTATTTCATTTTTTGGGTAATTACTTTTTCTTTGTATTTCTTTTATTTTTTTTTATTCAATCCATTTTGATTTTTAATTTGTTCAGTAACCTCTCTGTGTAAATTTTACTACTCAACACCATGACCTGAACAAGTTTAAAAGAGCAGATAAAGCCCAACTGCTGCCTATTCCAGGCAGTTCCTGTTATCCAGCTCATCCAGCACCTCTCCAGCTTGGATCCCTCTGGCTGCTTCCCACAGGACCATTTGTGGTGGAGCCAGGAAGGATTTAAGGCCATGCAGAGTTGTCACTTGGAGATGTGGATTAGTGATGGGCTTGGCAGTGCTGGGGGACAGCTGGTGACACCACCACTGCCCTGGGAGCCTGTGCCAGGGCAGGACAATCCTTTGAGTGGAGAAATCTTCCCTCATATCCAGCTAAACCTCTGCTGGAGCGACTTGAGGCCGTTTCCTCCTGTCTTTGACGTTACCTGGGAGAAGAGGCCAACACTCAGCTGGAGGTTGTGGAGATCCCAGAATCCCAGAACCTCTGAGACTGGAAAAGACCTCCAAGAGTGACTCCAACCCCCAGCCAGCCCAGAGCCCTGAGTGCCACATCCAGAAGATAAAATCCATCCCTCTTCACGCCCATGATGTGGCTGTTGCTCCACACTTGTCCCATCCCTCTGGCACCTTCCTACCCTCATCCCACCGCTCCCATTCACCCCAAAGGACTCTGGGGGGGCCACAGCTGCTCCCCTGGACCTCATTATCCCATTGACAGCAGTCCATATCTCCCTGGCCAGGAATGTATTTACTCCTGGGCACATAAGAAATTCATTTCCCAAATTGAATTATCTGCCT